ATGGTTGTGGATATTGCTAAAGCCTGTAACACGCCATTCAGGGACATCAAAATCTGCCCGCTTCACAATACGCATATATGCTTGGCAGCCACATCGTGATGACTTACGATTCCTTTGCATCTTTCCATCCTCAGATAGTTTCATCTGTGGATAGCCACCACGATGGCAGGTGAAATCCCTTCTCGTGACTCCTCGTCCAACTCCATCCTTTCCACGAGTACGGTGTCGCCTGATTGAAAAGCCACATTGCTTTGCAAAACTGCAATAAAATTCATAAGCAGCATCTTGGGATGCAAACCTTTGGCCAATGAAAGGGACAAGGTTTACCGAAGTCTGTCGTAACAATATCGCGTCTTCAGGTGTTTCTTCCGTGGTGCCCTTATCATCTTGAGATATATCTGTCCCATCTTCAGAAGACCCCATAACCATATTTGTTCCCTCTGGCATTCCTAACCAATTTTTACAGTCAGACCTGCGAGCAACTGTTGGTAAACTTAAAATCCAGCCACTTAATTAGACATATGAAACAACTCGCACTTATTATCATTTTTTTCTTTTTACATTTTAACTAAGATTTCACACGACCAGAATTCGCAACGGCAGGCAGTTCACATTATATCACTCGTCAACTTAAGCTGTTTAGATTTCATGTTTTCACGAACCCTTGTTGGTTCCACTGCAATATTTCCTGGTAAGTGCATTCATTAGCGCATCATAACCTATCTACAAACAATTAATGCATATGCACTGAAACAAAAGAGGGCACATAGTTTTTATGAGACATTGCTATTCCTTAAAGACAAAAATGGAAAAGAACAACGGTTAAAATAGATCAAGGCCCTTTTTTAGAGCTCAGAATTATGGATGAATCTCATAACATTCAAAAATTCATATTCGATCCCAACAAAAACGTTTCTCCAAAAGTCCTCAATAAAATCACAGCCAACCCGCCTTGATTAATTAAATAAAGCAAGTAAAAAAAAACAATATTGTGCTGTACAGAAATCAAATAAAAGCAGATGTGTGTACATACCGGGGTTTGGATTTAGTAGTATTTTAACGGTCACTAACGAACCTGGAATTCAAAAGAAAGACAAAGGCACCTGAAAGTGGCGGGTGATTAAACGGAAGGGGAGCAGAGCGCATCCCGTTGAGAGCAATAACTATTCACAGGGGAGATTGCTATTGTGCGCCGTGATGATACATGGTATTATCCAACGCGACAGCATGATTTCTGGCCGTTGGATCGGAACATTTGGGTTTTGATTTTGTCATGTATGGTAGGGATTAGTAGGGCCCTCCCTCGTTTGCGCAAGAAATCAACTCAAGCAATCAGAGGCTTGCACTGTGTTTTTGACTTGTGGGTTTCGCATTTCATAACCCAGGTGGGCGGCGTACGTTAGACTGGACCATGACTGAAGTGTTTGGGCTTCAAATGTTGGAATTCGTTAGATCCGCAGGCGAGCCGGTATTTGAATTGATGACAATGGATCGATGGCCACCCAAACAAAGTATTACGGGTCTGTTTAGCCCTTTTTAGCTCCCTCTTTTGTAAAATTAATGAAAAGTATATAGCCATTATTATAATTTCACAATAATTATTATAATTTCAAAATTTTTATTTTTTGAACTTTAAATATTTTTTTATTTTTTTTTATTTTTATATGTTGATATTAAAAAATATATATTTTAAAAAATAATATTTATTATAGTTCTAAACACGATCTTAGCTTAAACATGAATACGCAATTGATAATTAGAAAATTAATCTATATGGGTTAATATCTTGGAAGTATGTAACTGTAAAAAATGGAAGTAATGAGATAGATATTTACCAATATTACCCTTATGGATTGGGGATGCCTGCTTGCGTGGGTATAGATATTTCCTTTTTCTTCGATTTGTTTTTAAAAATAAATTAGATTCCTTACTTCTAAGTTGTGTTTGGTACGAGGAGGGAAAATTAAAGAATAAAATGTTAAAAAATAATTTAGTGATTAATTTAATGGTAACTATTATCCGTCCTTGATAATTTCTCACAGGGATAAATTTTAACCTCCACTGATCACTTGTAAAACACAGCTGGAATTATATAATCTCAAGAAAAAAAGAAAATAAATTTCTATGAATATAGTCCGAACACGGGTGGTCCATAGTCATAGGCATTATAGTCTTTCGAGACAAAATATGTTTAATGAAAATTAATGTTTTTATTGTCATTTTTATATATAATTCTTATAAATTAATTATTCATTTATTTTTTATTTTGTTTTTGCTTGAGACTCGTTTTTAATTATGATAGTTCTTCTTCTGTTTTTTTGTAAAAAGTGTTTTGTTAAAAAAAATAAAGCAATAAAAAACTGGGTGTTTTGCTTTCAAAAATGTTTTGCTACGATCTAGGTGGTGGTCAAGTGGTAAAGATTTGGGACTAAAGGGTTTGCTTTTTCTGTGGTCTCAGGTTCGAGTCCTTGATTGCTCATATGATGGCTACTAGAGGCTTACATAGTCATTAACTTCAGGGCCCGTGAGATTAGTCATGGTGCACGCAAGTTGATCCGAACACCCACGTTAATCTAAAAAAAATGTTTTGCTACATGGGACCCGTCCCAGACATATTTTCGTTTATTTAAAGTCGTGATTGGAATAAATTTCATCGTTTTGCTTTATGCCAGACAGTTACTGTGCAGCCTAAAATGAGGGGTCTATGCCCCGCGTTTCAACTGGTGTTACGTGTGTGTATTTGTTTTTATCTGTTAATATTAGAAATAAATTTTTAAAAATAAAAAATATTAATTTAATATATTTTTAAGTAAAAAAAACTAATGTATATGCATCCTTTTAGATTAATATCATTTGCTCCATAAATATCATGGAATTGCAATAAAAGAGAGCCACGTCTTCGATGAGCTCCCTGATTACGCAAGGATCCAGATGAATGGGCTGCTTTTTTTCACAAGCTATCGACGCTACGCTAGCTCATTCCCGTCGATTAAGGAGTAAATAGCTGGCCCACAAGGGGGTGAAGCTCAATTTGTTGCAGCTGATTCTGAAACAAGCACCGCAGTTGACATGGGTTAGTGGTTTGCATCAAAGATTTTAATTTTTTTGGGTGCTGGATTGTTAAATTGATAAACATAATAATAATTCTAGTTCACAGTTGAGACGAGATGGATTCAAATTACAGAGAAAAGGCCAGCACTTTGTCTTTTTCTTTGAAAAAAAAAAAAAAGGAAGAAGAAGTGCCCACATGAGGGTTTTGCATGTACTGTCCTTCTTATTGGTTTAAAAAAATATTTAATTTTTTTTTTCAAATCAATAATTTTTATATTTTAGATTATTTTAATGTGTTGATATTAAAAATAATTTTAAAAATAAAATATATCTTTTTAAATAAAAAAATACTTTAAAAAAATTTATCATTATATTTTTAAAAACTAATAAAAAATACTTTAAAAAAAATTATCATTATATTTTTAAAAACCCTCGCGATAGTTTTTATCTATTTTTTTAAAATTATATATCTATCTTCTTTTTTACTTAAGAAGTTAAGAGTACATTTAAATGGGGTTTGAGAATGTAATTATTATTATTTTTCAAAGTATTTATTTTAAATACATCAAAATAATTTTTTAAATATTATTTTCTAAAACCAGTAAATCAAAACAATTTTAAAATAATATAAAAACTAAATAAAAAATAATTTTTAATCAACAATCTCAAGACCTCCATAATTGATAAAATAACAGCGCTAAATGCCCCCTCTCCCTTGTTTTCGTTTGGCATGATGGTAATGACTACGAGCGCCAACGAGATAACAGTAATTTCTTATCACTTTTATCCACCGGTCGATATATATGATATTGCGAGCACACATGCTTGTCGATTTGTTCAGTTTAAAAAGAAAACACCCTTACCATTGACTACTGAAAGTGCTGATGAATACTGAGGCACGTTAATCTTGCTATCTTTGCTCTTTGTTGGCTCTCATTCTCGAGCCTGAACCTGTTTATTATTAATCCTCCCACATGGTTTCATGCTCATTTTAACATTCCTCTCGTTTGTGTGTGGTTTGTGCTGTCTAGATACTCAACAATTAAAAATATATCTTTAGTTTATAACCACGTAAATATATAATAACATAGTAATTATTATAAAAATCTATAAATCTAGCGTGCATGTCATGAATACATTCAAACTTTTATTTGATTTTAAATCAAAGTTCTTGCATATATATATTGATAAACAAAATATCTATATTTAAATTAATAATAAAATAAGTATTTACTTGTTACTTCAAAGCTTGTTTATAATAAATTTATTTAGAAATGTAGTCATGTATGCTTTTTTAAAGTGTTTTTACAAATAACTCAAAATAATATTTATATTATTTTATTTTTAAAAAATTATTTTTGATATCAATACATCAAAATAATCTAAAAATACTAAAATATACTAATTTTTTTTTTAAAAAAAAAACACATCTATTTCCGGCTAGCAAGCAGCATGCCTAAGTTCATATCCGAAATGGTAATACAGAAAATAAACCAACATGTGAACCGACACATCCCTCAAAATGTCACGAGGTAAATTAACATACGAGCAACATACGATACGATAATTCACCCCAAATTGCAGATCCGTCTTCCAGTACTTGACATTTCGAAATCTTGTTGGCGTATCCTCTCAGTGCATACTTTTTCTCTACACCAATATTCCCCGACTGGCACGTGTTTTAAGGAGCCACTTCTCTATTCATCACTGGAATATTTTACTTATCCTGTACATCTTGTTCTAAGTTTATCATAGCCTTCAAATGATGAGTCACTCAAACTGAGTTGCCCGTTTAGAAATTTGAAATCACTCCCTCCCCGAAAAAAAAGAGACGTTATAACTTTCTTTTTTATTTTTTTAACCATTCAAATAATAACAACAGCATAATAATAATAATAATTATTATTGTTTTTTAAAATAACATAAGCGAATGCTATTGAAGTTGTCTGTCCATTAATTGCATTTGAACTCCACACCCCATCTATGAGAAAGACACGACCTTTCACTCTCCTAGTCCCCCATTAATCTCTGCAAAATCATTCCTGAGTTCTCTCTCACACTGAAACCCTACACTCCCAGGAGATTTGCTTGAAGAAGGGAAAAGAAGGGTCCAAGGACTTTTAGCTGATATTCATCATCACCCCGTCGTTGCTTTCATGTAAAGTTTTTTTATTTTTTTCAAGTTTCAAACTCTGGAGACCATTTTATATATAATTGGATTGGGTCAGGAATTTTTTTTAAGATAATAAGTGAAAATAATCTCTGGGTTTTGTTTGGTTAATCTAAAGTCTTAATCTTTAGAGCATCTTTTGTTATAATTAGATTGAATTAGGAGATTATAGACTGTGTTCAACATAACCAGTGAAAGTGTTTCGTGGGTTCTATTTATTTAGCTGAAAGTCCTAATCTCTGATGTGATGGTACGTTTTTGCTGAGAAAATTGCAGCTCACTGAAATTTGAATCTAAGCTAGAATAGTGTACCATTTGCTTGAAATATCTGGGTCTTGGTTCAGAAACATAGGTTTATATAAATGGACTGTTATGGATAATTATAACCAAATATGAATCTTAGTTTTAAGATTTAGTAATTTTATTGCTATATGAATGAGCTTCCTTAATCTTAATTTTATTTCTCACTTGTTTAATTAGTTTTACTTTTTCCTATGATTTGAAGTGTCCATATGAAAGTGTAAATTATCAGTGGAAAGCATCAAGAAATGCAATTTAGTTGGGGATTAAACCATGTTTCAGTTTCATCAAATTGCAGGTGTAGCCTTCTACTTTTTTCCACTTATAGATGCTGAAGAGGGATTGATCTTTTTGTATTAAGAAAATGGGAATTGAGAAAGAAGGTTCTAAAAGTGGAGGATACGTGGGTGGTTTTTTTCAGCTGTTTGATTGGACTGCAAAATCTAGGAAAAAGTTGTTTTCAAGCAGGTCGGATTTACCAGGTATAAGTTTCTCTTTCCTTACATCTTACATCTTCATGTATAGATTAGTCTCTTGTATGGTTGGTTATGGATTTGCCAATGACTCGGCTTCATCTGACTCATTGTAGAGCGTTCAAAACAAGGAAAGAGAAGTGATGGGAGCTTGCCAATGACTCGGCTTCATCTGGTGGGCTGTGGACTTAATGCCATTTGTCTTTTGTTGTTTATCTTGTTATTCGATTTTTTGAGATGATGATGTATCTAATAGTTGTAATTACATTTGCAGATGGATGATGATGAAAATGGAGCAGGGTCGGGTATTAGAGGGGGCAGTGATTATAGCTGTGCTTCATCGGTAACTGATGATGATGGATATGGAGCTAGGGCCCCTGGAGTAGTAGCCAGGCTCATGGGATTGGACTCCATGCCAACATCTAATTTATCAGAGCCCAATTCTACACCTTTTTTTGACACTCAATCTCTTCGAGATGCTTCTCGTGGCAGGAGAAATTTTGATTACTACCAGGATCATCAAATCGCATACTCAGGAAATCTGCTTGATAAGGAGGATGGCCCTCCTAGAAACTTTGAGGAGTCTAAGCCCCATAAGGTCCTGAGCAGGCCTATTGAAAAGTTTAAAACTGAAATCCTGCCTCCTAAGTCAGCCAAATCGATTCCAATTACCCACCATAAACTTCTATCTCCAATCAAGAGTCCTGGTTTCATTCCGAACAAAACTGCTGCTCACATAATGGAAGCAGCTGCAAAAATTATTGAGCCTGGTCCCCAAGCAGCAGCCAAACCCAAAATGCCTGCTGTTGGGTCTTCTTCAGTACCACTGAAAGTTCGGGATCTTAAAGAAAAACTGGAGGTTGCTCAGAAAATGCCTCTGGCTGGGTCCTCTTCAGCAGCCTTGAGAACTCGAGAACCAAAAGAGAAAGTGGAAGTTTCTCATAAAAATTTAAGACTTGCAGAAACTTCTCGAAGACCAGTTGAGTCAAATGCTGCCAAGCATCTAAAGGGGCAGTCTTTGAACAAAAGCTGGAATGGATCAGATGATACATCTTGCAGGGCTTTTTCTGAGACTGAAGAAGGTTCTTCTAGTTCAAAGACTAAGGGAAAGTCTATCTCACTTGCAATCCAAGCAAAGGTCAATGTTCAGAGAAGAGAAGGTTTGAATTCAAGTAGCAGTCAAGGCTTTGTAGGCCAGAAAGAACTGAGAGAGGTTTCATCAAGCCAGTCCTTCAAGTGCCAACCTAATGTCCAAAAGAGTTTGCAAAAAAGATCTCCAATACAGAATACATCTGGTGTGCTGAGGCAGAATAACCAGAAACAAAATTGCATAATGGATAAAGACAAATTGCCTTCAAAGCCCTTGGTTTCCAACCTGCAGGGTAAAAGAGTTCTGTCTGGGAATCCTCCTGCGAGGCAGAAAACTTCTGGTAAGTCTTTTGGCTCCAAAAGTGGATCCAGGAAGCTGGACTTGGATTTGAGAGAAGGCGAGAAGGGGAATTCTAACTATAGTACGGTGAATAATCCCAGGAAGAAGCGATCAATTGATGGAAATTTGCATGTTGAGAAAAACCAGGTTGTTGATAACAAGCTGATTGACAGAAATCGGAAGGCTGTTGAACCTACTCCAGTTAATGACAGGCACTTTAGTTGGGCAGAAGAAAGTAAAAGGAAAGGCATGGATGTTGTCTCGTTTACATTCACAGCCCCCTTGACACGGTCTATGCCTGGTTCAGAAACACCCACTCAGGCTGGACAGAAAAATAGTGGTTCTTGTATGGATAATTGTAGCAAGAGATTGTTGCTTGAAACAGATAGTAAGAAGCTATCTTCAGTGGGATATAATGTGATAGGAGGGGATGCTTTGAGTTCTCTTTTGGAACAAAAGTTAAGGGAATTGACTAAAGGTGTCGAGTCTTCTAGTTCTATATCCACTTTTAGTTCAGGCGGCGCTGCACCAAGGTTACATGATAACAAGGATCAAAGAGTCTCATGCATAGATAAATCAGATAGCTGCTATGATTCTCCCTCTTCCTTATTCTTCACTGATCCTGCAGTTCCCAGATTGAAACACATTTTTCAGGTGCATATTTCTGAATTTCCTATAAAAAGAAAGTCCAACACAACCAATTATGTGTGTGTGTGTGTGTGTGTGTGTGTAAAAGTTTAATGAAGATATTTTGCCAGGCACAAGAAATTTTGGTTAGTTTTCAGTATATGATAAAAATGGTTTTAGGTGCTTATTTTAAATGCCGCTGCCATGAATCTCAAACTGAGAAAATTCTACAGATATTGCTTTCTTGAAGTAGTGTGTGCCAAAGAGCCAGCTGGTTTACCTCAATCCTCCTTGTCTAGCATGTAATGGATAAGGTGGTGGATGTCTGGCTATCTTTACTAGGGCCAGGCTGGTGTTCATTTCATAATACTGCTTATGTGCTTTGAATTTCACATATTTCTGTTTTCCATTCTCAAGCTATGTATTTCTCTTTTGCTGGCTTCTTATGTTTTCCATTTTCAGTCTGGAGAGGAGAGCTCAGTTCCAAATTCATGTTTATGGTTTATTATTCTACATTTATTGCGTGTTTTTTAACTTTAAAAAGACCAAAACTGTATTTCAGTAACTCACAGTGCATTATTAGGGGTCAAGTAACCTTCTTATAAAAAGTTAACATAGGAGTCACTCATGCCGTGAAGTTAGCATTTTAGATTTTGTGGAGCCCCCCTCTTCTCGTTATTAATCTGGTTAGTTAATGTAGTTTCAAAGGTTAATATTGCCAACTTTAGCACTATTTCATGTGTTGGTAGTTGATGCAACTGTTGCATATCAGGGAGTTGATGAGATGGACTGTAGCAGCAAATCAAATGATTCCAGACAGCTACTTGATTGTAGACGTCCTAGTCCAGTCTCTGTTCTTGAACATTCTTTTTCAACTGAAAGTAGCAGCTCTTTGGACAGTATGGATAGTTGCAGCACAGAAGGTAAGGGCAGTGCATTTCTCAATCTTTAATTACATGTACTAATATTTTTTAGTCGTTCAGAATTTCATAAGGGTACCAGTTGATGCCAACAAGGCTAAAATGATTGCAAATATAATTTCAGGGAACAAGCATTGTTCATCCATTCAAACCCAGGAAGTTCTTAGTTTGAGCTCTACGAAGAGGGTTCATTTTGTAGATGCTGATATGGAGTTATCAGATTCTGCTTCTTCAACATCAACTGGAACAGTGGCTAGAAAACATTCAAACATGTTAGCTGTGACAGGCCTTGTGAGATCAAAAAAGTGGGAAGTACAATATGTGGAGAAGATACTATGCAATATCGAATCGATGTTTCAGGACTTGGCATTAGGTCGGGCTTCCAAGATCATAAACCCTCATCTCTTCCATCATCTGGAAAGGAAAAAAATTATGCTTGAAAGTGATGGTGTTGATTCTAGGCTAGAGCGGAAAGTATTATTTGATTGTGCAAGTGAATGCTTGGATCTGAGATGCAGACGATATGTTGGTGGTGGATACAAAGCATGGGTGAAAGGGACAACAATGGTAAGAAGAAAGGAATGGCTAGCTGAAGATATGTACAAGGAGATCTCTGAATGGAGCAGGATGGGGGATTGTATGGTGGATGAACTTGTAGACAAGGACATGAGCAGTCAGTATGGAAGGTGGCTGGACTTTGAAGTTGATGCATATGCGCTTGGAGTGGAGTTTGAAAGCGAAATATTTAATTCATTGGTTAATGAAGTGGTTTCTGATATCTTGCGGTTTTGATGCCAATAGCAGCAGATAATATTCAGTGCACAGAGATTGGGGAAATTGTATGGTGGCTGTGCTTGTGGAGAACAAACACCTAGTGGTTGTGCTTCGTTAGAATTGTACGAGGGAGATCCCCAAGTGTGTTTTTCTTGGGATTAATTGTTTGCTTCATTTATTGGCTTGTGAATCGATGAGAGTGTTCATAACTTGTAGATCGAGGATTGGAAGAGCCAGCTTATGAATGTTATATAATACATAAAATGTGAACTCTGGTTCAACTGAGATCATCACTTGAGCTCCATCTTATAAAACCAATTCTCTTATGAATGTTATATAATACATAAAATGTGAACTCTGGTTCAACTGAGATCATCACTTGAGCTCCATCTTATAAAACCAATTCTCTTATTCCACTGATCAAGTCTATGAAGTTTTTCTGCTGCAAAACAAGTGCATGAACTTTCTATAGTCTTCTAATTAAGCATCTAGTTTTGTATTTTATAAATGAAATGCGTATCTCAGGGAACGCTCGTTTTGCGGAGTTATAAAGCGGGTACTTGCTCATCCTTGAGAGAACTCGAGCTGCTGCAAAACAAGTGCATGAACTTTCTAAAGTCTTCTAATTAAGCCTCTAGTTTTGTATTTTATCAATGAAATGCGTATCTCGGGGAACGCTCGTTTTGCGGAGGTATAAAGCGGGTACTTGCTCATCCTTGGGAGAACTCGAAATGTTGAAGCATTTATGGATAAGAAAAAACAAACCAGCTAACATGGCTTCATTGTATACCCTACTAAATACTCGTAAAAAAATCCACTGAATAAAATAAAATATAAACTGACATTTAGGGACTTAATTGCAATAACTTTTTAGAGCATGGTGTACTAAATTGTTTTTGGTAAGAGATATGACGTCAAGAAAATAAAAAGGAAAAAGAAAAATATAGTCGTCTTAAAAGAAAATAATAACCAAGCGAATGCCAAAAAAAAGAAGAAATCCTTTGGTTTCAGACAAACCACATAATTCTTCATCTTTGATTCAAAAGATTTGTTATGGACTTATCCATGTAAAAGATAAAAATCCTTCACAATATACAAGAGTGGTGGATGGGTAAATTAATCCATTCACATTAATTATCATTAAATTAATTATAATGAAAAGTAAAGCGTCCAAATGACATTAAAAAGATCAGCAGAATATCAATTTATAGTGATGTACCAGAGAACGCTACCATAGGATATATTTTCTCCTATAATTTAATGCTATACTTGAAAGTCGAACTTATTGCTGTTCATCAAAGCAGCGGTAGAATGCATAATACAAGGAATGGTGACGGTGTGAAAGCATGTGGCCATCTCTGCCCTTCCTTTGCAACTTGCAGCATGGCAGGTCACAAAACATTCCCCATGCCAATCTTCATGACACAGACAACCCAAATTCTCAGGGGACTGCCTCGCCATGGCCGTGATGTTAGTAACCAGCGTTTTGTACCTTGCAAACTCATAGATTATTAACCCACGCACTCTCAGGCTCCCTCAAATCACGGGCAAGCAAATATACAAGTTTCCTTCTCGAACCTATGTAATACTCGATTGTTTAGAGATCATGCACAATCATTTTTCTCATCGAATACGTTGAGAGCGAAGGTTAAAAACCCTTAGAACGTTTAATGCGTTGCTCCTTGTGATAACTGAAAATGATATGCAATAAATGGTAGGATTTAAATCTTCAATGCCTATAGAGCAGGATGGACAGGACAGTCGATTATTATCCCAGACCAATGCCTTCAATTTGGTGGGATTCTAGTCGGACAGTGAACACACTCTAAAATCGACCACACTAAAACGGTATTAAATTATTTTTTTTTTGGTGAATTGGGATTATGCAAATGCCTTGCTGTTGCAAGAAATTGTGCCGGTTACTAAGTGTTGGGAAAACTAGGAACAACCGGATATTAATTTATCCGAATTAATTCAGACAAGTCTCAATTCTTTCCCTCTTTGTGCAGTAAAATAGAATCAAACAATGATAAAAATAATACAAATAATCACAAAATCAATACCAAGATTTTTAACGTGGAAAACCCGATGCGGAAAAAACCACGGGACCGTAGTCCACCTAAAAACTTCCACTATCAACAAATAATGGGTTCACAATCATTCTTCCTCATATTCAACTAAGGGATACACAATCATTCTTCCTCAGATTCAACTAAGGGATACAACATATATATCATCAAGAACAATTATTCTCGGATTACAACAAGATTAAAGGAGAATTATTCCGTTTTCTATCAAAACGGTCAGCTTTCACACCACCAATCTTCGATCACCGTCAAGAATGAAGATCAATGTGTCTAGAAGCTGCTGTCAAAATCTCAGCCCGATCCAATTATGAACGAGCTGGAAATCGAAGGAAGAATGCAGGTTGTTCTACTGCCTCTTCTTCTCTTTTTCTCTCTTGATTTTCTTCTTTTCTCTTCTATTTTCAAATCTGTCGCTACAGTACCCGAATCATATTAATATTAATATCAAGAGACAGTCATCACATAAAAATTAATATGGTGGTCTCACCATCACATGGTATGTATGAGACCACATACAATAATAAAGTATTTACTGTTGTGTTGGTGTTCACACCTATTGTCTAATAAAGGAATGATATTTTTTTAATCAAAAGACAACCATCACATGAAAATTAATATGGTGGTCTCACCATCATATGGTATGGGACCACATAAGGTATTTACTGTTGTGTTGGTGTTCACACTTGTTGTCTAATAAAGGAATGATATTTTTTTAGGTTCGAGAAAGTAAAGCTTAAAAACAATCAACTTCAAGCTTTCTTTCGCATTTCATCTTCTCTCTATATTAAAAATCTACAAGGGCCACGGTTTAACTGCTACAAGATTGTGTGGGACATTTGAATTTTTACACTATTTATCAGTTGGACAACATGAACTACAACAAGTGTCGGTCTAGTGGTTGCTTGACAAATCATGATGTGATAAAAGGTAAGTGGCGTAGAAAAGCTCATTCCAGGAGTCTGGAACACCGGGAAGACACCAATGGCTGCAATCTTGGATAATCCCAGGAGTTCTTTGATGGGCATTAGGTTTCCGGTAAACCGAAGGATGCCCATCTTTTCTGTACCCTGTCATTCTGGTAATGTTGAGGTAAAAAACTGGCGTCTTCATCTCTGATATAACAGATTCAAGAATCTTCATCATCAATGGATATGGTTTAAGTTGAGTGTCGTTTGTTACAGGCTGCCTTTCTTCATGACAGTGCCCGCCTGAATCCCATTTCCCTTTCCTGCCATGCCACAAAAAGAAAATTCGATAACGATAAGCTTGATGTGGAAAAATCAGAATTAGCAGTGTTACCATGTAAGATCACTTGATCAACTAATGTACAATTTGTGAAACCAAGGGGGGTAGCAGGAATAATTAGCAGTTGTATTTTCTTGTTTACCTGAAGTGAGAAGCTGAGTATCCACCGAAGAAGACCCTGGTATGGCTTCTGTTGATGTTAGAATCAACCCATTTTGCCCATGTCCATAAAGCTTTCTTATAAGCTTCATTTACTTCTAGCCTGTTATAGACTTTCCTACCTTCCTGGAAGTAATTTTTGCTGGAATATTAAATGAAAAGATATTAGCATATTAATTTTCAATGGTAAAAGTAATAAAACGTTGACTATGACGATGAATATAGAGGGTATAGGGTTAGGAATTTGCTTATAAATCATGCGAAATCTTGAAATTAATGTAGAGCTTACCCTTTGTATGTTTTCTGGTGCGTCCACCAGTGACCGGTGTTGAAGATGATTATATCAGCATCATGGTAATTGAAAGAAGGGGTTTGGATCATGTCAAGCCTGAGTCTTTCTCTTCGATTTCCACGCCTGTCTGAGCTTCGCCATTCTTGAACAAGGAATGGCGATTTTACAAAGTCTATCGAGCAATTATGATCCTGCATCGTAGGAAGAGCACAGTCAGATGTTTAACTCTGAAACTTTCATTTGGCAAAACTTCTTTTGACTTTCGACAGCATTTTATAGAAGTCGAACAACACAGTAGAAGGGATGTGGTTGGATGATTTTAAGTCAAAGTAAAAGAGTATTGGTGAGGATAAGCCCATAGTTTTGCAGTTGCAATATTGCAGGCTTTGCATCTTAAATTAACCCACCAGAACATGCAGATTTGAACATGGTTCCAGTGATGTGCTGACATTTCCAGTTATAATAAACACTTAAGATAGATTTGCTTACTAGGAGATTCTGTAATGACCTGATTACTGTGTGCTAATGAAAAACCCCATTATTCAGATGTGCTACCTTAATCACTAACAAAAGAGATTGAGCATAGAGGAGGTCTCTGACAATCAGAAATGGATGAATTAATTACAGGAGCCATTGTGAGCAATGCATGGAGAACCTAACAGGACTGAAGGGACATGAATGATAGCAGTACAACCAACGGCAATTAACATATAGAATTAACAAAACTAGATTTTCTTTAACTCACTACGAAGTTGAAAGAGTAGAACCCTCTAGTCCTCAACTCTCGCCGACCCTCAATTTCAAAGATTCTGCTCTTATTCTCCACTGATTCTCTCAGTGCACACACCAAAGATTGCCACATATTCCTATTCAACGAGTCCCCCACAAACACCATTCTCTTCCCCTTTAACATTCGCAACATCTGTCTCCCATCAAACCTGCACAATCCAACAAACCCACAATAATAACAGAGAAAGAATCCTCAAATGCAAAAGAGCACAACTCATGTGAAAATTAAAAGAAACCGAGTGAATCTGTCTTTAGACCTTGGAATGTGGCATCCATGAGGTTTCCATCGATATCGAAGATAGTCCACGTCAGGCCTTCCGTTATTGAAACAGTTGAAGGCATCATCTAAAAAAGGGCAAGACCCGGGTTGGTAAATAGGATCAGAATCATCAAGAACCCAATTTCCATTAAATATATCGCAAGAACTAAGGCCTGCAATAACATCATCAATTTCTTCTTCTTTTCTTGGATTCATGCGAGTTCTCTCCATTGCAGTAACAGAAGAGAGTGTGCAGTTATCGGTTGAGTCAGAGACTAAACATGTTCTTGAAGATGTGATTGAAGAGAATGGAGAAATATAGTTTGCTGCAAAAAGAATGCTAGAAGCAAGAGAAGATGCAGTTAAAAAAGACGGCAATTGGTTGGTTAGAGATGTAGAGGTGAAGAAGAATAACGAAAGAAGGAGAAGGGCAATGGCTAAATGGTGGGTTCTTGATCTTGGTAAAGGGAAAGATAGGGTTCTTGAGATGTTAATGGAAGTGGTGAAAAGGTTCTTGAAAGGTGCCATGGAAGTGTTAACGAGAAAGAGTTGAAGATAGTCCCCGTCCGGTTTGTTTAAATCATGGTTGATTTTAGTTGTTTCTGTGCATTTTTACCGATTGTGTGTAACAGAAAAAAAATTTGGAGGGAAGGGTAGTTTATACTTTTTACAAGGGGCTCGTTGGGGTTGCTCTTCATATTCAATTTTATGCTT